GAGCATGGTGGCTCAAAGCTGAAAGCCAAGCACTTTGGGAGGCTGAGATGGGAGGATTGCTTGAGGCCAAGAGTTTAAGACCAACCTAGGAAATGTAGAGAGACCCCCTTTCTACAAAATAAAAAATAAAAATAAAATTAGCTGGGCACAGTTGCCCACACCTGTAGTCCCAGCTACTGAGGAGCCTGAGGCAGGAGGATCACTTGGTGCCAGGAGTTTGAGAACAGCATGGGCAACATAATAAGACACCATGTTTAAAAAAAATTAGCTGAGAGTGGTGGTGTGCATCTGTGGTCCCAGCTATTAGGAAGGCTGAGGCAGGAGGATCACTTGAAGCCAGGAGTTTGAGACCAGCTGGGCAACATAGCGAGACCCCATGTTAAAAAAAAATTGGCTGAGTGTGGTGGCACGCACCTGCAGTCTCAGCTAATCAGAAGACAGAGGCAGGAAGATTGCTGGAGGCCAGGAGTTTAAGGCTTCAGTGAGCTGTGATCATACCAATGCACTCCAGCCTGGGCAACAAACCGAGACCCTGTCTCAAAAAAAAAAAAAAAAAAAAATGAGGAAACGTGTGACTTTATGGAGGCCTCTCACCCTACAAATCCTTGAGCCGTCCCTGTCTAGTTTCCACCTTATGACAGCGCATGACCACATTTGAAGGCATGTTGCTTACATTTGGGTTATCAAGGCTCACTGTTTTAAGATGTGGCTAACACTAATGTTCTCTTTAATTTACATCAGCTCAGTGATTTGCATATTTGAATTTTGCCTGCAGCCAATTTATCATGAGGAGATAGAGCTTTAAAATTAAAGACCACACACGCACACGTGTGCCCTGTGGTGAACTTGACCTCTGAGCTTATGGTCGAATGACCCCTGGGAAGGGCGGCAAATGGCACAGGTACAGCTGGGGACATCCGCGGAAGATGCCTCCAGGTCCCGCCTGAAGGGGGCGCAGCCGCCCCTTCCCACACGTCCCCCATCCCACTGTCTCACCTCCTCCTCCCACGAGCAGCAGAACACACAAGCCGTGCTGCTGGTTGGTTCTAGAGTGGCTAGCGGACCACGCCAGCGCATGCCGGGAGCTGTCTCACACATCTGGAAGCCCATCTTGCACAATCGCATGAGACGTGGGCACACAAAACTTAGGAAATCCGAGGGAACAGAGCCACGCTCGGTTGGTGCATGAAAGTCACCAAAAAAGGTGCTCTGTCATCCACAAAGGAGGGATGTCAGGAAAATGGCGTGCACCATGCATGCCCTTACCCATTGTCTGAGCATGTGAGCTCTCCAAGAACATGAGTGCTCGTTTGTGGTGGATTTAAGCAGGGGCTCTCAATTTAAGAAACAGTTCCAGAGATTCTGAGATTCATATACACACAGTCTGCAGGAGATGATATGTGCACACACATCAGGTTTGCTTTCTGCCCAGATCACAGAGAGGGAAGCAGGTGCCAGGCCCTGTCACTGGAGTCTGCAAGGTTGCACATCAGCCAGGCCCTGGGGAATCCTGCCTCCTGCCGAAGATGCAGCGGCGACTCCTAGGCCCAGCATGGCTTCTGCCGGGGCGTGTGGGGCCCAGACCGCTCTCCTCTTTGTCTCCGTGCATTCACAGACGTTCGGCGGATTCTCATTAAAATGACTTCGAGTGCAGCAGAAAGACCTCGTGATGAAATAAATCTAGTTAAACACACTGTGTTGCGCTGCCTCGTTTGCGTGATGCATGGACCCTGTTCTCTCTCTGTCTCTTAACTGTGTACATTAGGTGATTCCTGCCAATTAATGCAGACGCCGCTTCTCCAATTGGTTTCTCGCTCTTCTTCAACATTAAAAATAAATACGTGCCATCTGTCTCATATCTTGAGCGCGATTCAAAGTGGTTACTTTTGTTTTCTCAGGATTACAGCGCAGTTTGCAGCTCCAGTGCTTCTGAACTGGGAGGAAGCCCGGTCTCCCCTTTACCCACAGAGACTCATTCCGAGGCGAATCCTGCGGGTGGAACAGCAGCCTGTCGTGAGAGCCGTGTCGCGTGTCTCAAGACAGCCGTTGTAGGACGACTTTCAAAAACACAGCCTTTGCATCTAGGAGTCCTGGACTGGGATGCTAAGCCTGTGGCTTCCTAGGTGAATGACCTCAGGAAAGGGGTATGACCTCTCGAAGCCACAGTTTCCCTCACCTGGGAAATGGTCATAACATCTCCTGTACAAAGTATTGCTACAAGAAATATTGAGAGAGAGAGAGAGAGAGAAGAGATAGATAGATAAATAATAGATAGGAGATAGATAATACTTAGGAGACAGATAGAGAGATGATAGGTAATGGATAGATTGATAGGTGGACAGAGAGGAGATAGATAATACATGATAGATGGATAGATAGATAGATAGATAGATAGATAGATAGATAGATGATAGATTAGATTGATAGGTAGGAGATAAATAGTAGATGATAGATAGATAAATGTTGTTCCTAATTCTTGGTTAAGGCCTAAGAAGGAGTAGGTAGCAGATACCACCATCTTCACCATCATCAAGTTTTTCTGGGCAAATAATCCAGTTGGGCAAAGAAGGTTGGTAAAAAAAAAAAAAAACAGCTCATGGTGGTATTACATTAAAACAAAAGACAGTTATGTGTGAAAGCTGTTTTTCTCTATAGCAATTAAAATACACAAGTAAAATATGCTTCCCCCACGGCCTCAGCCATTCTTTGAGTATGTAGGTCAGCATGGATGCAGGATGTGCCAGGGACACAGCGACTTGGGTGACTTTGGGTCCACTGATGGCTACACTCACCCTTTTCTAAGTTTTTTCTCCTTTTAATGAAAGATAGTGTGTGAAAAAGCAACAAATGTCTGAGCAACTTCACAGTAATTAGAAGGGCAAAGGGGAGTCTGAGAATGCTCTGTTTTCCATTTTGAGAGCAATTTTCTTCAACGATTCTTTCTCCTGGAGCACAAAGCTCTCTCGATCTGAGCCGGGAGCGCTGGAGATGGTGAACGTGCAATTTTCAAGCCACCCTATACTCACAGACCACAGAATTGCAGTGCCGGAGAGGATGCCGGACACACGTGACCGAGCCCAGACTATTTTAACCATAAGCAAATGGAGGCTCGAGGTGGCTCAGACATTGGCCCAAAAGCACACAGCTCGCTGGAGCTAGAACATTGCCTTGCTTTTAGCTAGATTTCAAAAAATTTGTTCAGCAGACTGAAATTTTTTAGATATCTATAAATACCCTGGGTTTGCTGCTGCAAAGGCAGTTCTGCTAACAGCCTTATTTGAGCATAACTTAGCTGTCGGGCGTAGTCTTCGTATGACAAAGTGGTCAAGTCCTAATAGTAGCCAAGAATGATTATCAAGACTTTATTTAGACAGGGCAATACAACCATGAGTCATCTCGCCTTGTACTTTGGAATATAACACACCTGTGAATCCTGGCAAAAATGTCATCTGTTCCCTGCACTGTGGCCCACTGCAATGCATTCCAAATTGCTGGTATTTTTACCACAGTTATAGAAAGAAAATTACTTAAAATTCCTAATCTGGGCACGCATCTGAACGTCCCCTCGCCAATTATAAAACGAAAAGCAACTGGTATAAACTGCGCATGTTCAGGAATATAAAGTTCTATGAGGCATGGCCGTGAGCACTTAAGCCCCCTAAAATAGAAAACGTCCTGACTGTCAAACTAAGAGCAACGCTGCGAAGCTGGTTCCCAGGGGAACACATTGATCTTATTTTATCACTGCTGATTGGTTTAGGGTGATCTGAGAATGGACTTCTCCATGGACCAATGGTTCTGATCTAGGCAGTAAGAGAAAACAAGCCGACATTTAAAGCTACTCTGGGGCCGGGTGCAGTGGCTCAGGCCTGTCATCCCAGCACCCCAGGAGGCTGAGTCGGGAGGATCACTTGAGGCTAGGCGCTGGAGGCCAGCCTGGGCAACGTAGTGATACCTCATCTTCAAAAAACTGAAAAAAATTAGCCAGGCGTGGTGGTGCACACCTATAGTCCTGGGTACTCTGAAGGCGGAGGGGGAAGGATCGCTTGAGCCCAGCAGGTCGAGGCTGCAGTGAGCTCTGGTGGCACCACTGCACTGCAGCCCGGGAAACACAGCACGGGACTCTGCCTCCAAAAATAAGAAGTCAAAACAAAGCTACTCTCTAGGCGCGCTGTTTTCGATGACAAAACACTGCCTATTTTATTTCCAAACATTCTCTACATTCAGTGCTTCCCACTGGCCTTTTAACACAAAGCCACCAAGTCTCTGGGACACTCAGCCTTTTCCCTGGGTCGCCCTGTCTGAGCTGCACAGCCAGGGGTCAGGGAGCATGGGAAGGGCTCTGCGGCCGGCGCCCCCGGGGTGGTCCCGGCTCCCAGACGCACCTCGGCTGGGCACAGGCGGGTGTTGGGTAGGGAAGGCCTGGCGGTGACGCTGAGTGGCTGGCGCGGGCCTGGGCCCTGGGGAGGCAGAGGAACGGCTCAAGTGTGTCCCCTGCAGACGCCTCTGCCACACACTGCCTGGCACCACAGCAAGATAAAGCACAACCTGGGCCCCCCCCAGCGGCGCCCCAAGGCCCCGGGGGTTGTTTCTGTGGGTGCGTTTCAGGGCCAGCAGTGTCAGGCCTGCTGACCACGCCAGGGCCCAGGCTGGGCCGGGGTAGGGAGACGGAGGCCGAGGGAGACCGTGGCCAGCTGAGGGGCAGAGGTCGAGGGAAGCCGTGGTCAGCTGAGAGGCAGAGGCTGAGGGAGGCCAGGGCATGGCAAGCGGAGAGGCAGAGGCCGAGGGAGGTGGTGGCAAGTTGAGAGGCGGAGGCTGAGGCTGAAGCCAGAGGCCCAGGGTGGCCTAGGTAGGCCAAGGCCCAGGGAGGGGAGATCCAAGGCCCGCAAGGCCCGCAAGGCCGGCGGTTGCACAATGGAGAGTTTCCAAGGAAGCTGGGGTGACTCAGGCGGAAGGCATGTGCTGCAACTGCCCCCCCAGAAAAACAACCAGACTCCAGATGCTGATAAGAATTCTTTTATGTTATTCCAATAAAAAATACATTCATACAGAAATATAACAATCTTGCAAAAAACAATTTCAAATAAAATCTTGTAAAACAAAATTTTACAAAAATCTTACAAAGATTCTTTAGATAACAGGGTGCTTCCAAAAAAAAAAAAAAAAAGAAATTTCACTAATAGAAATTTTTTTTTTTAACTTCAAGCAAAGTTTCTGCTTTGATTGAGGCTCAGTCGTCACCTGGACAGAATGTAGTTCTTCCTGTACTTGCTGACTATGAGATCGCAGGCACCCGCCCGGCACCCACCCCACCCAGGCCCACAGTGCCCCGGAGCTGCAGAAGGGCAGCAAGCCAGTGCGAGTGTGTTTTTTTTGTCTTTTGTTTACCTTCTTGCTTAATGGAATTGTTATGGCTAAGCACATAGCAGGACCAAAAAAGGAGTTTTTCAAAACCCAGCAAATCAAGCGCTTGGATTTTGAGTTGCCCAAAGAAAACTGCAACCCCCCTCCCACTCCCCAGCAAAATGAAATGAGTTCTTTAGGTAAGTGTATTATTCATCAGCTGATAAAAAAAAACCAGTTGTGTGAGCTTTCATCATTGCTCATTTCCAGGAAGATCAAACAAAATACCAGCCCAGCCAGACTCACATGTGTGTATATATATATAAAGAAGAGCTCCACACCCACAGCCAGCAGCTGGGAGAAGGATCAGCTGTCTGCGCTGTGGTATGCCAATTCGGGGAAATTACTCCTTGGAAAAACCGGAGGAATCTACGTGCTGGAAAAAATAGCTTCATCTGCATAAAAAGTGTTCTAAAAAAGAATCCCTGTGATTAGCTGACTCTTAGATCTTCTGATAAGGCTGAAATCCGAAATCAAAACCTTAGTGTGTCTGAGCCCCAAGGGAGTTCCAGTACTTCCTTCGGGCCATGTGGGAGCGGCCCGGGGGTCTCCTGCTCCAGACCCCCCCATCATGGTGAGAGAGAATGCTGGGCCTTCTGGGACAGACTCAACGCCAGGAAAAGTCTTCAGCGAATCATTAAATTAAAGATAAAGCCTCTAGAAAAGTTAGATCATACTTTTCGTTTGCACCTCCCTTACGGCCATTTTGAAGTATTTCTTCGCAGGCTGTGGAATTTTCTAGCTAAACATTCTAGTTTCTCCTTAAAAAAAATATTTATATATTATCTATATATAATATATATATATATATACACACACATACACATACTATACACACAAATATACATACACAAGAATCCCGCCCACTTTTAAAAAAAAGTAGTATACTTTCTATCTTACCAACAGATAGCTAGATAGATATGTGAAATTTGTGCCTTTTAAGCAAATACATTGACATTGGGTTTATTTATTTTTTATACTTCTGCATCTGTACTATGTGTGAAAACGTTACATATTAAATACAGCCGGTGTGTGATCTATACAACTGTTGTGCAAGGTCTGTATGAAAGTCTCCAGGTGGCAGAATCGGGCTGACTTTGCAACATCACGTGTTTTCCATCTTAACACTGACAGGCAAGTCGTCTACAAGATTGAGCAAACACTGACGTGTTCAGGGGGCTTTCGTCTACTTGTCTTTGTGAAGGAGGACCTCAAGAGACTTGTTTTTCCGGATTACACATGGATACAGTACAATGCCAGGTGAAAAATGAGCCTTAATAAAGCATCCATCAGCCACACCCCTGTATGAAACCCCGCACGAGGGGTCGCTTGCATAAGGCACCATTATGAAGGTCAACAGTGCATTTGACAGCTAGAAAACCAGAAATTAGTCCTCAAGGCATAAATAAGAGAAACATAGCTGCATGAGAAAACAGTTTCTAAGCATTAGTGGTTGGATCCACCCAACTGAGAAAAATTTTAGGTCACATCAGACCAGCAATTCCCGGCCCCGGCTCTTTGACAGTAAGTACGCGTCCAATTTCTCCAAAGGGCATCGTCCCAAAATGCTCCCAAGAGTTAATTCAAACTCAGAATCACTGAAAAACCACCCTAGGCGGCACAATGCCTTTCCGGAAGGGGATGGTGTGCTGCGGGCCCAAATGGCTGGGGCCACCATGCCAGACACCCTGCATCTCACTGCTCAGCAGCTGGAATCGGTCTTGCAGTCCTGACTTGCGCATGGAAAAGCAGAGAGTTCCCCAGACCATGCATGACTGTTTTGCATTACAAGGAAAAGTATCGTTGTGTTATATTTGTAGATACACAGCTTATACAATGGGTTACAAATGAGCTCTGTCGTAGCAAGTGAAACGAGCTACTTGACACATTGCACGTTTAATAGCTGCACCAGACATAAGACTTCTCTCACGCTGGAAGGGGGGGGCCCCCTCCCCTCCCCACGCCACTCACCACTCCGGGGTCCTGAGTTCCCGCTCCCACCCGCCGAGTTTTTCCTTCTTTTTTGTCTTTTTCTTTTTTTTTGTTTTTTTGTTGGTTTGTTTTTGTTTTTCCTAAGGTGCAGCCACTCCCTCCCCCCAGGAAATGGTCGGTGGTCATCTCATCTCATGGAACACTCCTGACACACACAACACTCAAGCTACTTTTTTCTGTCTCTCGCAGTTGTGCCCACCGCAAGGAAAAAAGTCGGTCTCATCATACAGTCAGTAATAGATCCTCAACAGACAGTCAACCCAGCCAGTGACATCCTCAGTGCGCATGCTCACGGCAAAGGCTTGGCGCCACTCGGAAGGTTAGGTACCAGTGGCGAGTCCAGGGTCACCCACACACCACGCACCACGGGTGCCAGCCGCTCCGGACAGGACTTGTTTAGCCCTCGAAAGACCTTCCAAGGAGGGGCCCTGGAGGCAACTGGGCAGGGTGCAAAATGGCATGCTTTGGCTGGAACACGCATCCCTCCTCCCACGGCCGTCTCTCAGCCTGGAAGCCTCTTAGCCTACAGGAGTCGCCTCTGCGCCCTCACAGGTGCCGCTTCATGTGCAGGGCCAGGTGGTCAGACCTGGAGAAACACCTGCAGGGGCAAATCAGAAGCAAAGAAGTTAGGATTCCACCCCTTGCCATGCTGCCGAGGGCTCCCGCTCTCCCTGCAGGGCCCGGCCTGACCTCCCTGCGGGGAAGGCTGTCAAAGCTTCCCGGGGCAGGAAGCTCCGACCTGCAGGAGGGCGGGCGAGGAGGTCTCCGATAAGCAGCTGCTGAGTGCCCTCACTTCTAGCTGGTCGAACTGCCCTCACTTCTAGCTGTCCAAGCATGGACACTGCTAAAAGGCGGATCTTCAAAAGGATCCGTCACATCTCTGTCCTGTGCACCTGGGCCAGGTCTTTCCAGCCACGGGCAACTGGCTTTCTAGGAAGTCCCAGCGTACAACGAAATGTCCACGCGGGGCAGGAGAAAGCCTGCCGTCCGCCACACATGCGCCTTGCCCTGCCCTGGCTACCGCGTGCCCGAGGCCCTGAGCTCCCTTCCGGAGAAGCCCTCACGCACGTACCTGTCACAGTGGGAGCATTTAAAAGGCTTGGCGCCGGTGTGCTTTCGGAAGTGCCTGGTTAACTCATCACTTCTTGCAAAACGCCACTCACACCCTTCCCATGAACATCTGTAAGGCTTTTCTCCTGGAGAGAGAGCAGATGACAAGCGGGCCGTGACTTCACTGACCCACGCCGTGGCGGGACGCAAGGCCAGGGTCTTGGCGGCCTCGAGAATTTGCAACGCGCTTCCATGAAGGACGGTCCCTGGCCATCGCAAGGTGACAAGCACTGGCTCCTTCCTGACCCAGCCTCGGCCTCGAACCGCTGTGCCAGGGACACAGCTTGGGCAAAGCCCATGCTCCCGTAATCAGAGTTAACGTGCAGCAATGACAGTTACTCGGACTGGCAGCATACTTTCTGGATGAGGGGTCAGCCCCACGGAGGGCAGAGTCTTACTGCTTCTCCATGGAAACTGCTTCTCTCAAGCACTATCTGGTTCGTTACTCATTTCCCTGCAGAATGAGTCTCTACAGCTTCCTCTGGGACCATCTACCTTTCTACAGAACTGAAGTCACGACTTTCTGGAAAACTCCATGCCAAGGCCTTTGAACCACTCTCTAAATGGAATGAAACCACCAAGTTGACGTCAACCCTTGGTCAGATTATAAATATGAAATGCTAGAAGTGCTACCTGGGAATGCAACAAGTTACCAGGCCAAACCAGGGGCAGCTGGGACAGGACGGGGCCGGGTTTCAGGCCGCCGGGGGCCTAGTCCCAGCTGTCACCAAGCCCGCGTGGATCTCAGACCTGACCTCTCGGCAATGCGCCCTCCTACTGGTAAGACAAGCGTCTGCACCACCTGGCTAAGATCCTCTCGGGCTCTAACTTTCCTGATTCTTCACCAATTACGGCAGAGACTGTCATGGCATTTTTAAAAGGGACTCTCACTTCAGTGATGGCATTTCATTAAGAAGTCGCCGCTGTCGTTTTAAGTGGTATCAGGAAGCCAAGGCTGCATGACACACCGTGAAATTCTCAATCGACACCCACTGACCAGTGCTCTGCCCACCGAGCGGACGGGTCCCCGCGCCTCACACCACCGCCATCAACACCAGCACCTCCATGCTGCCGGGGCCCTCCGTCCGACCCTCGGGCTCCATTTCAGACTCCGAGGGGCAACTCTACATGACCCCGTGCGGGGACCCTGGTGGGCGGGCACGGGGGCCCGATCAACCGGGCTGTGGGGTGGGTGGAGGTTTGGGCATCGATGGAGAGTGTGATCTAGCCTCGCGTGCGTTCATTCGCAAAGTGTGAGCCATCCGTTCGACTCAAACGTCCGGTCTCTGGGATTCTACTCTGCAGTCCAAAAGGCCCGGGTCTCTGGAGGGACGCATCTGAGGAGGTGAGGACGTGTCTGCTGCGCCCGCATCCCGGGGCTGGCGCAGGTCGGGGGCGCCCACGAGCGGCCGCCCCCCGGGCCCCAGGAGGGCACTGACCTGTGTGCGTCCGCTGATGTGCTTTCAAGTGGGAGCTTTTGGTGTACACTTTCCTGCAGCCGTTGAAGTGGCACCGGTGCACCCGCCTCCTGCCGTCGGGGGAGGCGTCCCCTCCCTTGTCCCCGGGCTTCCCCGGCGTCCCACCGCGCGCCTTCCCGGGTGAGGGCAGCTCCCCGGGCGCGCAGCCCCACAGCTGGGAGGCCTCCCGGCTCAGTTCCGGAGACGACGGGGGCGTGGACGTGACCGAGCAGCTCAAGTTCCCCGGACTGACGCGAACTTCGCCGACGGGGTCCGCGGTGAACTTGGCGGTGGGGGCCAGTTCCTCCGAGCTGTCGGACGACTCGCTGCCGACGTCCGAGCTCAGGCTGTTGGTCTCCAGGTTGAAACTGAAGCTCGGGCTCAGGAGCGCAGCCTCTGGAGGACGCGAGGAAACCTTCAGTTCAGATTCCTCCTTCTTCTCCCGAGCCAGGATGAGTTTGGTCCACAGATCTTCCTGGCTGTCAAACTTGATCTCTGAGGCGGAGACGTAGCAAGGCTCGCTCTGCAGGTAGCGCTCCAGCTCCAGGCAGGTCTGTGCAAAACCAACCAGAGAGGCACGTGACTGTCACGACGACCGAAAGCAGAACCACACACAAGCAGTAATGAAGGACAGACCGCCTGTCGCAATGTCACCACCCCACGGGGCAAAACCTGCTCTAACTAGGAGTCCGTGTCCTTGCGGGGCTGGAGGACGCGGGTTTCTAGGAATGGGTGAGAATTCAGGAGAACCAAGAGGGTGAAACCGCTCTCGGCTGCCCCAGTGCTGGGCCAGGGCCAGTGCATGACGATCCCTAAGTCAGTTATTTTGTGATGTCTTTTGTTATAGTTACCAGTGTTGATGTTTCTAACGAGTTTCCCACAAATCACAGGAGGAGAACCAGCCCCACAAACATACCCCGAACAGGCTCAACCGGATTCTCCGACATTCTCAAGAGCCCTGGGCACCAAGGGAAAGCCCAGCCGTCCACCCGCCCCTCACGTCCATGCGCCCTTGACGCCCGCAGCATCCACGCAACAGGACAGAAAGACGGCAGGCACGCAGGGTGTTCCCAGGGACCCGTGAGAGGCAGCTGACAATGCAGGGCCACACTGGAGTAGACAGCAACTCGCTGTGTATACTTGGGACATGGGTGCACTGCAGTGAAACCACCCATTTCCTGTGTAGACCTAGCGTGTTTCCAAAGAATGCCATTCCCAAGTGCAGGGCTGTGCACGCCACAGTGCGTTCATTACGTCTACAGCGGCCAGAGAAAAACGAGGCGCCTGGACGACAGGAGTGGAGAAGTAATTCCAGAAGGGCCATCTGCTATTGTGAGGGGGAAATTACTCCCCGGCCCTGCCGGGAGTCCCACAATGAACAAGAACTTTATCTGCTGGCCAAGAGTACAACTGCGTGAGTCATCACTCCTGTTTCTTTCACGCAATGCCAAAGGAGACTTCCTTCTGCAATGCTGACCAGCGGCCAACCCAGGACCCGGCTCCAATACGCAGGCAGGGTGGCCGGGA